ATTGCCACACTAAATCAAAAGGACAGCATTTCTGCGGAGATAGAACTGGGAAGGCATGAAAGAAGGATGAATGGGAATGGTGCACACAGAGAAGTGTTACATCATGGAGATCGTAGGCCATGTTACAGAACTAAATGTATATGAATTCTTGACTGGAAGACCAATTAGCCATGCAAATTTTCACCCAAATCACAATGGAAAAGTTTGTTTGTTTGTTTAAAAAAGAGAGAGTCCCCAGGTAGCATAGTTAAGCTCTCAACTACTAGCAAAAAGGTTGGCTGATCAAAACCACTCAGAGGTGCCTCGGACATCAGGCGCAACAATCGGGTTCTGAAAGATCACAGTCTTGAAGACCCGTTGGAGGACCGTGCTACTGTGACCCACATGGGGTTTCAGTGGTCGAAGTCAACTTGACGATCAACAGCCAAAAAGAAGAAAAAGAAACTTCTTTGCCAGAACTAGTTAAGGGTAAGACAACAAGTGGGAGGACCAGGAAAGGTGGTACTATCACACTTAATGAACATAGTGTGTCTACTTACATGGTCTGTAATTAAAGGTGATTATGTGGAGTAGGCAAGGATGACTTCAGAGACTGAATTTGGCCAATGTATGAGTGGTGAAGTTGTTTATTGAAATGTACACTATGGGGAAAGAGTGAGATTTAGTAGAGTGTGGTGTGTTAGTCTGGGTTGACTAAAGAAACAAATCCATGGACACTCATGTGTATAAGAGAGAGTTTTATATAGAGGGTAATTGTACATTAAGAAAGCATCCCAGTCCACTGCAAGCCCATAAGTCCAATATTAGCCCATAAGTCTGATACCAATCTGTAAAGTCCTCTTCAGACTCACAAAACACATACAATGACGCTAAATGCAAGATGATCACAGTCCAATGGGTAGAAAGTCTTTGCATCCAGTGGCGTTGTAAGCATCTCGGCCCTGGAAGGGGTTTCCACGTGGCTTCTCCAATTCCCAGGGCACAGGATCTATCAGCATAGTACCTTGTGTCTTGTCAGCTGCAATATCTCCCAGGGTATGAGCAGAGAGAGAGAAAATACCAGACTCTCCAGAATTCTCAGTAGAAGGCCATGCCTACACAGAGGTCTCATTTGCTATCTCCAGATTGACAGGCTAGACTCCACCCCTACACTCTTAATCCTCAAATTGACAAACGATTATATAACTACCACAAGTGGGTAGTTAAAGTGAAATGAGAAGTTGTGACTTTTAGACACCAAAAATATTCAGAAGCAAATTTTTTGTTTTGAGAATTCTGGGTCATAAATGTAGACATGACAACCACCTGTAAATGGGTGAGTTTAAAGCTAGGGTTTAGTGACCACTAGTGGTGGTTTTAGGTTTAGGTAAATAGACCATGTTTGGTTTCATTTAGAAGGATACAGGAGAGTGATGACTACATCCAGCAGGAGGAATCATCATTATAGGCTACAAAGCAGTTCAAGAACTAGTCTTTGGCCTTAGTCAACTAACTATGTTATTGATTTCTTTGTGTGATTTAAAATTTTCTTCTCGTGTAACTACAGACTTGAAATAGGAAAGCCAATTAAATTAGAAAAAGTGTGCACTAAATTTCAGACTTAGATTTTAATTAATGGTTTTTTATAAACTCTAAGGTTGACTTTTCTCATTCATTCATTCATTTTTTATTCTTCATGTCTTTTGGTTATTTTTTCACACAAAGGGTTCTTTCTTGATGCTTCATTAATATGGTACAAATCATTTTTCTTTAAAGTACTTTATTGAGATAACTTGCATACCATAGAATTCATTCATTTTAAGTCTGAAAATCACTGATTTTAAAATACTTAGAGGCATGCAGCCATCATTAGAATCTAATTTTACAACTTTAAAATAAACCTAAAAGAAACCATGAGCTCATTAGCATCTGCTTCTTATCCCCCATCCTTATCCCAAAGCCCTATACAACTATTAATCTGCCTTCTCTCTCATGGATTTACTTATTCTGTATTTTTTAAATAAACAGAATCATGCAAAAAAGCGGGGGGGGGGGAGAAAGAACACTAATTTTTGTTACCATCCCTCTCCCAACCCAACACCCCACAAGTGGTGAGTCAAGTGTAAATAAGTCGGATGACAATAGGTGGGTGTACAACCACCCTAGTAGAAACTCTTATGTTCCAAGTAGAAAGAAAACTCTTACAATGGTTTCATATGAATAGCTTCCAGGTTTTCCTGTGCCAAAGAAATGCACAGTTAGAACAGTCACACACTGAGAAAATGCAAAGCTAGGACTTCCTGCCAGGAATCTACAGTTTATTCACAATACTCTCAGCATAGATACAATTTTCAAGTGAGCAACATTTTCAACCTTAGCGATGTACCTTGTAATATACCTAAAATCATAGTAATAATCTTGAAAGTTACTCCAAAGTCACTGTTGTCCATAAAGGAGAGCAGCTTATAGAAACCCTTCCAGATACACAGCTATCAAGATCATTCGAAGACTATAAATAATTACAGAGTGGACAAAAGAACTACATAAAGAACTCTCAGAACAAAAACAAAGAACTCTCAAAACCTCTGGCACTTAAAGAACAGAGGAAGAAAAAGGACGTTATGAAAGAGTATGTGAAGGAATAAAATGAAAAGTAGGAAAGTCATGTTTTTGAAAGTAGAAAAGAAAGAAGGGTAGATAAGCAGAGTAGGTTGAATGCACATGGGAAAAACAATTGAGCACTAGGAATGAATAATTTGAGAGTGGTAGGATAGCAAAGAGCAAACAAATCTGTCTTGGGAGAAGTACAACCAGAATGCCCCTTAGAACAAGGTTGGCAAAACTTCACCTCATCTACTTTGAACGTGGTGTCAAGAGAGACCAGTTCCTAGGGAAGAATATCATGTTTGGTAAAGTAGAGGGGCAGCAAATACGAGGAGGGCCCTCAACAGGATGGATTGACACCGTGGCTGCAGCAATTGGTTTAAACAAAGAGCAAGGGTCAGGTTGGGGTTAGGACTAGGGGTTCTGTTGTACACAGGGCTGCTGTAAGTCGGAACCTAACAGCAACAAGGATAGCAATGGGGATAGTATGGAAACCAAGGGAAATAAAGTCAGGAAAAGATGGTCAAGAATTATGTAATGCAATTTTTACAGCAGTTAATCATTAGCAAAAGCAGAATATTCAAGTGGTGGATGTAGAAGCCAGCTAATGGTGGGCGTAGGAACCAGTTGAGGCCGTGAAGGCAGCATAGATTTGGAGTGCCCTATAAGAAAGGGTGCAAATGCAAAAAAAGATAATGAGATCATATCTTCAGGTCCAGGAGCAATTTAAGACAATTTAAAAAATAAATCCAAACCATTTCAAAATAGCAGTAATGTGTATTTTTACACGCAGGTTTTCTTCACTCTCAGCTTTCTTTTTCTGTTATCCATTTTGATTCTTTGTGTTATCAATATTTTCAATAATAAAACTCTTGTACTATGAATGAAGACAGTCTTTTTTAAATTGTTTAACAGTGTGATATTACAAACTCTTAGAGACAGTGTCAGAACAACTTTGATTCCTCCTAGCAAGCGAATCGTTTTTATAGAAAATCTTTTATAGGATTGTTGTGTAAGATATATCATTTTTATTTTTATAAAAAAACAGTCTCCATTCTGCATTAGAACAGTTTTCATGTTATTGCAATGTACTATTATGATTATGACATCATATACAACTATAAATTTTATACTTGGAAAATAGCATGCTCTTGAAATTTATACAGGGAACACTTTAGTTGTGACAAAGTTGGACTTCCCTCCACAGATAACTAACAGTATTGTATAATGTGAGAGGGCTTCAAAACGTTCATGGAAATTTTTATTATCTTTCGATTCCACTTTTCCACAAACCTTTTGAAGTGACCTTGTATATGTGAAAGTGATTTATAAACTACTAAAAAAAAACTATACAAGAGGAGTTTAGGATTCTTAAGTATTAGGTGTTAGATTGGTAGAATGATTTATGGGTATCACTTATTACAAATATAATTAAGCTATAAATGGTGCTAAGCTAGTAGCACATTAAAAAAACATTTTCAGTGACATTAAAATGTAAGACATGTTAAAAAATAAAGTAATGACAAGAAGCAGTGAGTTTCTAAGGAAATGGAGATATAACTACTCAAGAAACACCACTCTACTGTAGAAAATATTAGTGGGATCTAAAAATAATTTCAGATGGCAATAATATGAAGTTACTCTTAAGGAAATATTGAAATTTAAAAGTATTTTTAAAATACTGAATAAAAGAAGCATGGAAGACTGTGCTTAAGTCTTAAGAAAAATCAGAGAATATGCCCTTATGAGACTAGAAACTGCTTCAGAAAACAGTGAGATTATAAGGATATTAATAAAGTCCTACATGAAAGTAATTAGCCTTCTATAACAACTAAACTCTTATCACAAATGTGATATACTTGACCTTTCTGGTAGTTGTGAGATAAAAGATGCTATATTCTTTCTCTTTTTAGATTTTTTAAATTATATATCTTTAAATGATATTGTTAGATATCTATCTCCAATATCCATGTATTTGTGGTCAGTTTGGCATAAGCTATATGCTATCCTGGTCAATTACCTCGATTTTCCCTTTGTACAATTGCTTTAAACTAGATTTCACAACCTTATTCTTGTATCTTTACAACTAACAAATTTTGTGAAAGGTGAAAATATCCTAAGTGTAATGAATGAGAAAATGGGGACCTGAATAAACTATAAACTATGTACATTTCTCAATCCACGTGAGAGGACACTGGTTGATCAGAGAAGGATTATGCATGGACCCTAAGGACAGACTATAACATGAATCAAAAGTCTAGAGGCAGCCCAGTAAAAACAAAAACAAACATCTTAATAAGGCTGTCTCTCTACCTGCCTGTCCAAATGCTTTTCCACCTGTGCAGATCCATCCCTGCCTGTCCAGCTGTCTCCACACCTGATCCCTACTTATCTGATCAGTTATCTCCTTCACGGGCCCCAATGCTATTGCACCATTCTCAAATTCTTCCTAGCCATCCAACTGTTTCTCACACCCGCCATCAATATATTCTGCCTAACCGTCCATCTGTCCCCTCTACTTTTCCAAAGACCTTCGTAGCAGCCCCATCTCTGTCCTACCCAGTCAAATATATTCCTCATCCTCCAGCCCCTGTCGCTTCCAGCTTTTCTAGCAATTTTCCTCTTCTATCAGCCCCAATTCCTTCTGGCCCACCTGAGCACCTGCCTCCCCCATCTCGAAGTTCTCCAATCATTCCTGATCTTGATTCACAGAACAAGTTATTTTACAAAACTTTCAGACCCAAGCATTTCCTCCCAGCCCAGCATTCTACCCCAGCCAGTCTAACGCCTGCCCTTGTTCGCCGTTCCCTTCCAGCTCGATTGGTTGTTTCCCCAGCCCCTTTGAAAGCTATTCCTCCTTCAAAGCCTGCCTGTTTATCCAGTCATCCCCCTCATCAGCCAGTCCCAACTCTTTCTTGTTTCACTCCATGGCATGAACAACCTTCTGCTAGCTTGGATCCCTTTTGGTCGGTTCAGCGAGCTGTACCACAAGCCACAACATTGTCGCATCAACCCCAGGCCCTTGCAGAACATCCACCTGCCCCGTTCCTCTCCCAGCCACCTCACTGTCATTCTCCATCCTCGTCTGTGTCTTCCTCTCCTTCTACTTCCACATCTTCTTCACCATCTACACAATTTTCTTCTTCCTCATCCATTCTTCCCTCTCCCTCATCTTCCTCTTCCTCTCCATCTTTACCTCCTTCATCTGCCCCTCTTCCTACCCCTCCTGTGCATTCACCTTCTCCATGTTTGCCTACAACTTATTTAGATTTTCCCTCTCCAATATCTCCTGTTTCTTCTTCCTTTATGATTTCTTCTTCCTTTCCCCCTATGCTTCACTCTCCCTCGATTTCCACCTCCCCATCTCCTTTTATTCCTATCCATCCCTTCAATCCTCCTCACTGGGGGAAGAAAGTAGAGAAGAGAAGAGAAGAAAGTGGAGTAGAGAAGAAAGGAATAGAGAAGAAAAAGTTGAGAGACGACAACATTAAAGGTAAATAAATCGAGTTTATTAGATGTTTTGTAGATTTAGCAATACTTTATTTGGGAAGGGTGACTGAGTATGTAGGAGTAGTAAAGTATAAAAGGAGAGAGAAAAACACTGAATCTTCATGAGCTTGTGCTAAATGCCTCCTTGCTCTCCCTACTGTCCTTGTAGTCACAACGGGATAGTCAGGAGTCTCATCCATATAAAGATATATATGGGTATTGGAGATAGGTACGTCACATGTGGCCATGTGGCCCTTGTGATTTACACTGCTGGCCCGATATCGCAGTCAACTATATCATACCTCATCCCTACCCCATCCTCAGAAAGGTCTTCCTATGTTCTTTGCTTTGTACTGTGAAGCTTATGCTTCATATACTGAAATTTGATACGTGGTACATATGCTGAAATGTGAGACCTTGTCAGATTCCAGAAGATAAAAAATTCTAACAGACAATGATGTCATGCACCAATAAATGTTGGGACATACATTGGCACTTTAAAAATAGACTTAAAAAAATTTTGTAAGAAGACTTTAATTCAATACTTGGAAACCATGAATATGTTCCTAAAACTGAAAACACTTTGTATATGCTCCTACATGGAGTAAGCTCCAAACGTAGTTAAGTAGAATTGAAAATCCTGCCTACTCTTAACAAGCAATTTTCATTAGCTTGAAACTTTAATCATCTTAGGGTTATGGGAATACCTGGCAGCCATGACATCTCAGAATTAAGACCAATACAATATAATATTATCTAGGTCGGAATGATCTTAAAGAACTGAAGACTGATTCCGTACAACAGAAGAATAGTTTCTCCCTCAATCTAAATAATAGAGGAATCAAATTTCATAATTAAAACCATGAATTTAAAATAAATAAATAAATAAATAAAACCATGAATAATTGAACATTCCTACATGAAAATGAAATTCTTTGATTGGACTAGAATCTCACAATCATTTTTTTTCCTATTCTTGACTGCATTAAATTCTCATTCAAGTATATCTATATATTTCTCCAATATCCTTATATGTAATTATCTGGACACACATACACTGACACATATTATAGATGTGCAATTTATATATGCATATATATATATATATTTATATATATAAAGAAGTCGACTTTATTTAAAAATGCTAAAGATATTTTATTTCTGGTTCACAGAGGCATAGATTCTGCCCTGCCTTCAGTAATGTCAAACAGTGACCACAAGCATCAGGTGCACCACTTATCCAAAATCAATTATGATAAAGAAATGAAAGAAAACTGCAGGGCAAACTTGACTTCCATCAAAGATGCATTTCAGCTTGAACTCGAAGAAACTCAGAAACTTCTAGAAGATCAGCATTTAGACAGTTTGCAAGTATGAACTATAAATGTGTAAATAATGTTTTCATTTGTAATAATAATTCTGTCTTGTTTTTGTAATATTTTCCACAAAAGAAATGTATGTTATTAACTGAAACTAAGAAAGAGAGTGAGGTTGGGCCAGCACAAATTCATCACAGATCCTAGAAAATAATTTCTTTACCTTTTACCCTTTCCTCCTCCTATTCAGAAAAATGGATGTCATTTCATGAAAATGATTAAGTCTACTTAAAAATAATATAAATATTATGGTTCCAAACTAGGTTATAAGAGTTGCCTGAAAAGTACAATGTGTGTGAACATTAGGTTCCTTACGTACCTATGGCATAGACAACTAGAGATAGTATTTGTCTACCCTTAGGAACACATTTACTTTATTATTTTCCAACAACTGAATATAAGTTTCAACTGATTTTTTTTCATAACTGTACATATTTATGAGATTTTTAAAAAATCATTTTATTAGGGGCATGTACAACTCTTATCACAATCCATGCATACATCCATTGTGTCAAGCACATTTGTACATTTGTTGCCATCATCCTTCTCAAAATATTTACTTTCTACTTGAGCCCTTAGTATCAGCTTCTCATTTTTCCCCCTCCCTCCCCACTCCCCCCTCCCTCATGAACCCTTGGTAATTTACAAATTATTATTATTTTGTCA